TGCTGGCATCCAGGAGGATGATGTGCAGAATGCACGCGGCTCCGTGCTTCCAGGAATGACACACATTGGAAAAAAAACAAAAGAGCAGGCTGTGCAATCCCACAACGCTCTGACCCGCGGAGCGTACACACATATACGGAAAGAAAGCAGCCAACCAACCATTGTCATCTCTCTTTCTTTGATTCTCCCTTCCTTTGTCAATCCCTTTCTCATTTACATCAACTGGATCGGGCTGTCCAATCCCACAACGCTCTTACCCGCATAGCGTACACACATATACGGAAAGAAAAAAAGAAAAAAAAAAAAAAGTTTTCCTCCCGGTTTATACGTATCCTCCTTGTGCAGGGCCCATGCTAATCTTCTCTGTATCGTTCCAATTTGACAGATGCCCCAAAGGACAATGGTGGTGCCACGACCTCAAAATATCATTGAGGAGCTAGTTGGTCCCAGACAGTTCAAAATTGCAATATTGTACTCGTCTGTTTCCATTGGAGTACGAGATCAGGCTAGTGTTTCAATAGTTCATGGGGGATACCAACGGAGCCAACCTCATTGGACCTGCCATCGCTCCCAAGACTGATACTTGTTTCGGTCCCCAAAACAACACTACGATAAATAAATAATAAAATAGAAACAAAATAGGAAGCCGAGACTGAAGAGGAGAGGGAAGGGAACTCACTAGTACCTCTTTTGGTCCAACAAAATCAATGAGGTACCTCTTTTGGTCCAACAGAATCAATGGGATAGTAGGACCCTCAACCCCTTACTTTTCCTCCATTGCACTTCGCTGCTTCCCTTGTGGCCGAAGGACCCCTCACTTTCCCTCCACCACACTTTGCTACTCCCTTGTGGCCGACTGTTGACCTCGATCCTTATACCTGGTGTGTGAAAGTCCATTGTTGTAACCAATAGGGCTAAGCCCAAGTTTGAGCTTAGTGAGCTCATAACATGATATAAGTGGTTTTTGAACTGTGTATAGGCCCACTGAAACACCCCAAGGCCACCCCTTGGCCTATCGGTCGAACCCACCGCCGCCAAACCTCTGTTTCGCTCGCGCGAGACCTCGGCATCATACTTCAACCACCGGCATGCCAGCCATCACGCCAAAAGGTTATGCCGTCGTGGGTCTTTGATGCCGCTCACACCTGGGCCTCGGAGGGCTGCACTTCGCCGTCGACATAATGTGCGTGCCACTTATCAGGGCGAGGACTCAACACCCGCGCCATCAGCTACGAACGAGGCCACACATCATACTTCAACCGCCGACATGTCAGCCATCACACCAAAAGGTTATGACGTCGCCGGTCTTTGATGCTGCGCACACCTGGGCCTCGGAGGGCTGCACTTTGCCGTCGACATACTGTGCGTGATGCTCATCGGGGCGAGGACTCAACACCCTCGGCGTCAGCTACGACTGAAGCCACGTCGGGCGCTACTTGCAAAAAAGCACGCCAAGTACCCTCGTAAGGGTATTTGGTACGAAAGCGGAGTCTCCCTCGGGAGTACACCGGAGATGATGGCATTGGTCATGAGGAAAGGTGCATCCTACAGAACAGTGGAGGTGCCAGAGTCTGCCATCCCCTGCGTCATGGCCACCTGTCCGTGCTGAGGTGGGGTGAAGTGCTCATGTTGGGGCTTCACTTTCACCCCAGCCCACTTAGCCTTATGGTGAGGTGTTTGCCTGTCGAGCCGTTGGTTGTGTGTTCGAGTCTTGTATTCGGATTACACCTCACCTCCGTCTTCGCAAAGCCCGCAGACGAAGCTCACCCGTGCTTTCCATATGCCTGCCAAACGCCATCAGGGCATTGACCACCAAACCCTTCTCCCTCTCCGTTGCCCCCCCCCTCCCCCGCACAGTCACGTCTGCTTCCACGTGCATGACTGCTTACACCGGCTCACCTCTATCGCGGACTGCACCGCGGCCTCGACTCTGCTTCGACGAAGTTACCCCTTGGCGACGCGGCGGGAGTAACTTCCGTCTTCCTCCGAACATAACGCACCCTAAAAATGAATTTATACAAGCTATATTTCCAGCCAGATACAGCCAAAATGAGGGTGCGTTGTGTTCGGGGGAAGACGGTAGTGCGCTCCACCCCCGTCTGTCCCGGTCTCCGCCGCCACGCTGCCAGCGCTGCGTTCAAAAATTCGAAAAACCCGCGCGGGCCCGAAGGGCCCCAACAGTCCCGTTAGCCACCCCTGGGACGGACAATTTGTTGTTTCGATTCCATTCCATTTGGAATCAAACTAGCACCCCGCTGCCAGTTTTGGCCGTTTCAAGTATTCTTCTCTTTTTTTTTCTCCAGTCAACATGGCACGGCGATTTTTCTAAGGGTACAAAAAATAAATAAAAATAAAAAATAAAATTTACTAAGGGTGATTTTTTTAATCACGCTTTAGGGATTAGGGCGCACGTGAGAGCGTTCTCTACTGCAGGTGTCGAACGAGGCCCTTCATCAGTTCTCGCGCGTCCTTCCTTTTGTTGTCATTGTCACACGAAGAGATTTGCTAGCCCACCATATTTCCCCCCTACGGTGGTGGGTCGCCACCCAGCCAGATCTGTTTGGAAGACGGAGGGGCAGTTTTGCTACAGCCCACCATACTGCCGGTACGGTGTTTTTTTTTTTTTTTTTTTGGGAAATTTTCTCTTTTCTTATTACTACGCGGTCCCCCTCTTTCTTTTCGCTCCTCGCGTTTTTATATCTGTCTCTGTCGTCGTTGCGCGTTGTCCATTCCATGGTCGTCTGCTCTAGTTCTATATCTTCCAATTTTTAACTAACGGCAGATCTATCCTGAAGACTCTCATCTGCGTTCCTGCCGCGGGCGCTCGACGGCTGTCGCTTTCGCTTTCGCTTTCGCTGTCGCCGCCGCTGTTGCTTTTGGGCGCGCGCAAACAGCGCGAACGCGCGCCAAATGTGGAAACAGATGCACAAAGTATGTACGTACGGAACGGTTCTGGCACGCCTTTTTTTTTTTTTTTTGGTTAGTGTCTTGTCCCTCCCTCTCCGTTCTTCTTGCTCCTTTCTCTCCCCCCCCTTCCTCTCACGTTTCCGTTCCGACTATGGCGCTCGCTCGCCGCACTCACTCACCAAATGTGTAAAACGAGAATGAATCGGCCCCAAAAACGTGGAAAGGTACGCGGCTATAAATTTTGTGTTTTGTGCATTTGCTGAGTGATGCGGCGAGGCGCCATTACCCCTCATGTGTAAGGATGTATTGGCTAAAACCACAGTTTGATGAGAGCACGTCTCCTCACGTCTTTCTTTCTTGGCGTGCTGTGGAGTGTCAAAATTTCAAAATTTCAAATTTCGACCAGCGATCCGCCGCTCGCTGTGGGTGTGTGAGACTGCTCTCCCGCGTTGCATTGTGTGTGTGACAGAAATCTCTCCCGCGTTGCAGTGTGTGTGTGTGTGTGTGTGTGTGTGTGTGTGTGTGTGTGTGTGTGTGTGTGACAAAAATCTCTCCCGCGTTGCACAGTGTGTGTGACAGAAATCTCTCCCACGTTCGTTGCACAGCAGGACTCTGCCGCGCAAACAAACTGCTTTTTCGCGAATTGCACCCCGGCGGACCGTACGCACGACGTTTTCCGCCCCTACGCCCCCCGGCGCCCCCCTCTCCTCTCCCCTTATGCGTGTCATCCTTTCGCAGGCGCCATGTTAATCTTTCCTTCTTTCTCGGTATCGTTCCAACAATATGTATTAACCCATGTCCCGAGGGGCTGTGCTCACGCTGTGAAGCTGCTGTTGGTCGACCATCTTTCCCGCCTTGTGGTTGTCATTCTTTTTTTTGTTTTTTTTTGGTTTGGAAAGAGTGGTTGTCATTCTTGAATGTGCAGGGGCCATGCTTATTACTGTAATTAACTCTTTTTTTTTTTTTCGGATAATTAACTCTTTTCTGTACTTTTCGAACACGTGGCGCGTCATCGGCGCGCAGTGAACTCTCTCTCACTGCTTCGCTGCCACGCCTTCAATCATGGGATAGGTCCAAGGTGCGTTTGTTTTTTTGTTTTTGCGTTTTTTATTTTTATTTTGGGTGCATTAAAGGGAATTTTTTTTTCGTCCGTTCGTCGAACGGACCAAACTAAAAAAAAAACAAAAAAAAAAAAACAACCGTCATTCAGATCTCGATCATCACCCTTGGTCTTAAAGGTCGTCCGTTTGGTACCTCTTTTTTTTTATTTTTTTTTATTTTTTTGGGGGTTCAGTCTTGCGTACGGTCCTGGCGGGAAATCCGTTTTTTTTTTGGGGGGTCAGATTTTTTTTGGGGGGTCAGTCTTTGCATACGGTTTTGGCGGGAAATCCCTTAGAATTGGAAAGATAAGGGAAAAGAGAAGAAAACCAAGGAAAACAAAAAGGATTTGGAGCCATATTGAGGAAAAAAAAAAGATTGGGAAACCTTTTTATTATTATTATTTTTTTTAACGTTGTTTTCCACCGTTATCTCTCTGTTGAAATCTCAGTCATCTGCCCGTTTGTCAGTTCTCCAGTTTTTTTCTTTTTCTTTTCTGGAAAGCATTTAGAATTTATTTTCCAAAAGTATAGGTCAGTTCTCCGTTTGGCCGAAGTTCAACCCGTTTGTTCCTTCTCTCTCTATTGAATCCATTTTTCGTTTTATTACGATTTAATCATTACTTAGTTCATGAATGAATGAATGAATGAATGAATGAATGAATGAATTAATTAGTTAATTAATGTGATCTTCGGTCTTTCTCCTTACCTCTCCCCGCGCCCGGAAAAGAAAAGGGAAAGAAAAAAGAAAAAGAAAAGAGGAAAGGCATATCGCCGTACCACTCTCGAACTGTGCAAAGTGAGAATGAACTTCCCGCTAGAACATGGCCAGATGCACCCGCCACAGTTTTGCCTTTTTCACATTTCGAGAGTGGTGTGGTGGCCACACCACTATCGAAAGATTCGAAACGAATAAAAAGTGCGAGAAAAAAAAAGAAAGTGCGAGTTCATCTTCCTTCCGTACGAATCCGCAGAAAGAGTGGCAAGATTCGTACGGAATTCCGGGAACAGAACGTACGGTAATTATCGCTGTATATAGACAGAAAGTTGCGCCTAATACAGCTACAATGACCGTACGTTCTATTCGGGGGGGGGGGGAGGAAGGTACCACCATCGCTAACGCCATGACTAACAGCATCCCTACCCTTGCTACAACCATCGCCATCACCATCACCATCAACGTCATCATCGCCATCGCCATTACGACCACGATCATCTAGACGAGTCATCCCCCGACGGTTCCACCATCACTAACACCATCACCACCATCACTACAACCACCACCATCACTATAAACATCACCATCACCACCATCAATACAACGATCACCATTGCCATCACCATCACAATCATCACCATCAACCATCACCATCATCATCATCACCATCATAACCATCATCATCGCCATCACCATCACCAACGTCATCACCATCAACTTCGCCGTCGCCATCACCATTACTACCTCCATCTCCATCACCATTACTACCTCAATCACCATCACCATCACCATCACCATCGCCATTACGACCTCCATCATCTGGGAGGGGTCATCCCCCGACGGTACCATCGTCATTAACACCATCGCCACCAGCACTTCAACCATCACCAAGATCACTACAAGAAATCACTATCGCCATCACCATCACTATCGCCATCGCCATCACCATTGCCGTCGCCATCACCATTGCTACCGCCATCACCATCACCATCACCATTGCTACCTCCATCACCATCACCATCGCCATCTTCTTCTCCTCTCTGTCCTCTTTCTCTATCTACCTCTTTCTCTCTCTCTCCCGCTCTCTCTCTCTCTCGTCTTCCCTTCGTTGCTTTCCTGGCCTTGGCTTTTGCGTTTTCTTCCTATTGGTTGTATCCGTCTCGCTCCGTTAGAGTTCCGTTACGTAAAAGAATCTTCCGTCTTTATCTCCTGTCGTTTTTCTCCCTTTTCTTCTCCCTCCGCCTCTTCCTCTTCTTCTCTTTTTCCTTTTCATCCTCCCGTTCCTCCTGCTTGGTCGTGATTTCGCCCCTCCTGTCTTTGCCTCCCCTCCTCATGTTCCTGCTTTCGCCCGCTTCTCTCTCTCTCTCTCTCTCCCCCTCTCTCTCTCTCTCTGTGGATAACTCCAGGAAGTATAACTCCGGGAAGGATAACCCGGGGTAATTCCAGATTAACTCAACTCGGCTTGGATGAGCGTAGGATAACACCAGGATAACTCCGAGTATCTCCTAGTAACTCCTTATTAACGACGATAGTTCCAGGATAGTTCCTGGATAACTCCTGGATAACTCCTGAGGGTAATAACTCCCGAGAGGATAACTCCCGAGGGTAACTCCCTAGGATAACTCGAGGATAACTCAACTTTTCTGTTCCAGAATGATTCTTGGTACTCGCAGGGGGTGTGTGTTTATTAAAAAAAAAAAAAAAAAAAAAGAATGATTCTTGGTACCTCCAAGAAAAAAAACGGGTGCGAATGAGGGGGGGGGGGGAAAAGGGAAAAAGAATGGAAAAAAAAAGAACTAGAGTTTTTTTTGCCTGTCGCACTCGAGCGAATCAGTAGAGTTGATCTTCGCCATTTTGTTGATTTAATTAGATGTAAGTAATTAGTTCAAATTAATTTAATTAGTTAATTGATTAGAATAATAAACGGATCAGCTCGTTGTGGATATTGTAAAAATAGAAAAAAATAGAAAAATTAGGTTAGGACAAGGGGGGAAAGGAAACCCCTGCGCTGACGACATCGATGGATGTTTTGGGACTCGATCCCTCGTTTGTTTTCAGCCAGGGTGAAACGGATCAGCACGTTATAGATTTTTTTTTTTWTTTAAAATTTTTATTTATTTAAATTTGGTCTAACTCTCGATTTATGCGTGTCATCATATCCTTGAAAGCGCAGTGGCCATGCTAATTTATTCTCTGTATCGTTCCAATTTTTTTTATTTTTTTTGTAACGCATGTTCCGAAGGACAGTTCTAGACATTTTGTAAAAGCAGAAAAATAGGTCGGGACAAAAAAAAAAAAAAAAAAAAAAAAAAAAAAAAAAGTATGTTATGCAGAATAACAATGCAAACCACTTTTGCCTCAGAGTCATGTTAGAATTCCTAACCAAACTTGAGTTAAAAGTCAAAAGGGGGGGAAAAAAAAAAAAAAAAAAAAAAAAAACCCGGCAGTGACAACATGGGTATAGATGTTTTGGGACTCGATCCCTCGTTCAATTTGAGGCAGAGATAATTGGAGCCTATAGGGCTTTCGCGATCCACTAGAATTCTAGGGTGGTACAACTTTTGGAGAGAGAATCGGAGAGCCTATAGGGCTTTTGCGATAGATAGATGTTTTGGGTCTTGATCCCTCGTTCGGTTTCAGCCAGACGTGATGATGATGATGATGCAAAGACCTACGTCCAAAATCACTATTGTGATGTGAAGTAATGTGACGATTGCGTTTTTCTTAATCATCACGTTGTAAAGCCGCTCCTCTACGACTACCGTCTTCACCCGAATAGAACGCCCGGTCATTATAGCTGCATTTGGCACAACTTTCAGTCCAGATGCAGCGATAATTACCGGGCGTTCTATTCGGGTGAAGACGGTAGAGGAATGATTGATTGATTGATTGAAAGGGTAATATTGCTGACATGATGAAATGAATGATTGATGAGAGGATGAACTGTGGGGATGATTGAATACTTTAGTAATTGAGGACTTGAATCGACGTAATTATGGATCGTGTGACTAATACTTAATTATGATCGTCGATGATGAAACGATGACGATAGAGGCGTAGTATCTGATGACGAATTTTGTGGTTGTGGTTGTGGTGGTGCTGCTGTTCATGCTCATCATCGATGTTGATGATCATCATGGTGCTGCTGCTGATGTTGATGATGATGATGATGATGATGATGATGATGATGATGATCGCTAGTGGTTAACCATCGACGATCGTCACCATCGATGTTGATGATCATCATGGTGCTGATGATGATGTTGATGATGATGATGATGATGATGATGATGATGATCGCTAGTGGTTAACCATCGACGATTAACCATCGATAATCACACTAGGAGGGACTATTATGCCGTTCACCCCATGTGGTTAACCATCGACGATTAACCATCGATCGTCAACCATCGATGGTTTTAATCTGTGTCGACGATTAACCATGATGATGATGATGATCGCTAGTGGTTAACCATCGATGGTTGACGGTTTTAATCTGTGTGACAAGGATGTAAAGGAGGTAATACAATGCTCTCTGCCTGTTTGGGCGCTGCATCTCTGTTTTTTTCACAAAGGAACGAAAAGTTTATGTCGCAAGCATACATGAGAATACGTTAAAAAAAAAAAAAAAAAAAAAAAAAAATTTTCACGGAAGAGCCCCACCCCCCCTAGACCCCGAAAACCTTTTGAAAATTTTGAAACCCCCGGACCCGCCCCCCCCCCCCCCGCCCCCCCGCCCCGTTTGCATTTTCTATAACCCCTAATAGGCGAAACGATCCTGCCACGCGCTACATGAGCGCAGACCCACCCATATGCGCTGAATGAATATACTGCATGATTAACCAATGTGAGAGAGAAAGGGAGGGGGGGAGGGAGGAAGCGAACAGGGTGCGCCGTAGTGGACACCAACCTTCCTTGAGAGAGCTAACGACAAAGAAACCATGTCCACTGACCTCTCCTCACTTAGGCGCTCAGGCTATCCCGGGCGTATGGTTCTCGCTCCACCACGTGCGGAAAAGACAAAAAAAGATGGCGGAGTATCTGCCCAGGTTCTAGTGGAAGATTCATTCTCATTTGCACATGTAGTGACTCGGGGAGCGAGGCCCTATATCTGCTTCTGCAGACAGAAAAAGAAGTGCTTGGATGTGTCAAGGGACCACGACGTGAGAACGTGATATTGCCTCTCTCTCTCTCTCTCTTTCTCTCCCTCTCTCAAGTGTTTGCGCCCAGGTAATGGTGAGCAAACTTTTTGGGTCCAATAGTCGAAGAAGGGAGACAATAGTAAAAAAGACGGGAGAAGGTGGGTGGTAAGGGGATAGACACCTTGCTAACGGCCTCTGAGGGGGGTTGTTGATTAAGCGAAATTTTTCTGACTGTCACCGACACTAATTAAGATGCTCTTGTCCCTCAAATGTTTTACACTTAGGCCGTTTTTTTTTTTTTTTTTTTTTTTTTTTGGGAAAAAACGACGAATCCATTGAAGTGAAAATTTGAGGCCGGGAATTCCTCACAAACAACCCGGAACAAAAAACGGCCATAATAATAGTCACCGGACTTTCTTGAGACCAATTAAAAACAGAAAAATCGAAGAAAAATGAGTTAATCCTTTTACCGTTTTGGAAAATTGTAAGAGACGGAAGTAGTTTGTGAGGGTGGTTTGTTGGATTTTTTTTTTTTTTTTTTTTGCATTTTAGGTTTCATTGATGTATATTTTAATTGTTTGGCGGTTGATTGCTTTTTTTTTTTTTGCATTTTATCTATGGATTTTAATTATGTGGCGGTATGACGATAATATTGACAAGCAAGCGAGAAAAAAAACTGTTTTTGCAACGGAGCGAGTGTGCAGAAGGCATCGTCAACAACAAAAAACGGCATCTCTGTGCATGCATAATTAATTAACAATGCATTGATGATGCAAATTTTGTTTCTTTGATTGCTGTTTCTTTGATTGCTGTTTCTTTGATTGCTGTTTCTTTGATTGGTGTTTTTTTGATTGGTGATTGACTATTTCAATGGTAGTCGTCCATTTGGTCAGTGTGATTCTTGACCAGCCCGCGTGAATCCTGGGAAACGAAGCGCACACATCAATCAAGCAGGCTCTGCTGGGAAGCGAAATCGGGACGTACGTTGTCCATATCTAATCGGGATCGGTGGTTCTACAACGCATGGTTCGGCTTGGCTTGGCTTGGCTCGTCATTATTACCGCCGGTACTCAATTCTTTCGATTCGCTGGAGCAACCGGTATTCGTTCCATCGTGTACTTGTTCTCTGCCACGTCAGCAGCTGATCGTTGTGTCGTCTAAAGCCGTCGATCCTCCTCATCGAGCAGGACAGGATCAGAATCATTGATTGAATCATCATCTTCACCGCATCAAACAGGATCGGGTCTTCACGCATATCAAGCAGCATCAGTGCTTTGCCCACATCACGCAAGCAGGGTTGGAAGCAGGGTCGGTGGCTTTTTGCCCACATCACGCAAACAGGGTCGGAAATAGGGTCGGTGCGGGGGGATCGTTGTCTCGTCGAGTTTTCCTCTCCCCCCCTCCCGCCCAATCAAATAGGATCGGTGTTTTGTCCACATCTGTTTTTTTTTTTTTTGATTTGTCCACATCAAGCAGGCTTGGAAGCAAAATCTGGACGTTGTGCGTATCAAGCAGGGTCGGTGTTTCTTACAGCTCCAGCAGGGTCTGTGCTTCGTCGACATCGCGCGGGATCGGTGCTTCGAATCCGTCGGCGCTCTGGTTGGTCGGGGGAGAGACTACTGACTTGTACATCAAGAAGGACTTGTGTTTTTTTCCACATCAAGCAAGCTCGGTGTGCTCTTCGGATCAAGCAGGAACGTGGCTTTGTCCACATCGAGCAGGAGTGGAGTTTTGGTGTGGGCGGGAGCTCTTTGTCCACATCAAGCAGGCACGGAGCTTCGTCCGTATCAAGCAGGAGCGGAGCTTTATCCACAATCATCAAGCAAGACTGGTGCTTCGGCCTTCGGCCACGTCAAGCAGGAGCGGTGCTTAGTTCACGTCAAGCAGGATCTGTGTGCGGCTTGATTGGTGCGGCATCCGCATGTGTGGGCGGCTTGATCTGTGTGCGGCTCGACGGTTTTCCGCATCGAGAAGGGGCGGAAGCAGGGTCGTTGCCTCGTCTAGGGTTTCCGGCAGGGTCGGTGGATCATCGGGATCGGGATAAAGGAGGGGATTGGTATCAGGACCGGAAACATATCAGGATTGGGAGTGAGGAGGGTTGGAATAAGGGTCGGATTCATAATCGGATTCAGGACTGGAAACAGGGTCGGAAGCAGGGTCGGTGGGTCGTTATGAGACGGCGATTTTCCAATTGAGCAGGGTCGGCGCCTTGTCTCGGGTTTCCCGGTCAAGCAAGATAAGTTTGCGGCGTGGAGTGGCAAATTATCTATCTATATATTGTCAAACAAAGCTGCCCGGTAAACCGTAGGCAGAGAGGGAGAAGAGGAAAGTTATATATATACGTCACAAATACTTGGTGCTGACTCGGCGTCCTCCTACTGCCTATATCGTCACAAATACTTGGTGCTGACTCGGCGTCCTCCTACTGCCTATATCGTCACAAATACTTGGTGCTGACTCGCCGTCCTCCTACTGCCTGCCGGCTTCAGGTCTCGTCGGTGAGCAGCGGCGAAAATGTGCTGCATCGTCAAGTCCTTTGTCAAATGGATTATCTCGTGCGTGTGCTGCCTCATAGTGATAGCAGTGGCTATCTTGATCGCCCTGTACTTTGCCATCAAGCCAAAAAAGCCGTCCTTTAATGTTGTTAATGTGCAGACGGTTGATGATCGGCCTTCTTTATTCGATATTTCGGGCGATAACGTGCTGCCAAATGTCGGTTTCGTACTCTCGTCGTATAATCCTAACAAGGTGGAGATTGAGTACCAAACGAACAACTCGCTCAAGGTCCTCCCCGGGAGCAATGTCACCAAGCAATCCCAGCCACTCGGCCAAGCATTTCTCAACACCTTCTCTCAGGGCGCAAAGACTCAGAAAAATGTCACTGCCAACTGGTTGAGTGCAAATCGGGTCGACCCAGACGTAATGACCGTGCTCCAGGCGAACCTGACGAATGATTTGATAGTGGTCACTCTCTCTGGGAGGCTGCAAGCGAGGGGCGTGTATGGCGGCCTCAGATCTCCAGGGGTTTATGTAAGTGCTACCGCCTTCGCCCGAGCCCGAACACAACGTACCGTCGTGTCGAACTGTGCCTGACTGGAAATAGAACTTGCATACAGTCGTTATAAGGGTGGGCTATGGGCGTGGGAAGACGGTAGACGTCCGTTTATTTGTGTTCCTCCCTGTTGTTTTCACCCCAGTGGTGCTTGATTGCCCCCTGCCATATAGCCTGCCTCTGATTCTGGTCGTCACAGGTGCCTTAGCGTCTTGCTGGCATAGAACAGACGGTCATCATCGCTTTATATATATATATATATATCGTCAAATAGAACTGCCCGGTAAACCGTAGGCAGAGAGGGAGAAGAGGACATATATAGATATATATATTCAGCCTCCTGACGAGTCGGTGAAACTCCAACGAAACAGTTTGTCACAGCCCCTCGTTTGTTGTCCTCTTCTCCCTCTCTGCCTACGGTTTACCGGGCAGTT